GCTATGAACATTAATTTTTTTAATGAAATAAAAAGAGAGTCCTACAACCATAACTAATGGGTTTGGATGGGGTTCACGTTGTGTTTTTGGAGGATTGCAGTGTATTTTCATGTATTTTTCACACAAATAATCAACATTTTAACCAAAAAGTAGTTTCTTATGAATTTATTTAATTTTCTTATTTATATACCAAGTGAGTCAATCACAATTACATGGTGTGGTTTTCTACAGTGTGTTTTTTGGGAGGTTTGTGGGGTTCAGCAATACTGTACCCTTTAACCCTACCATAAACCTTACCCTCATAATTACATGACATTTTAATTATTATAATAATTGCCATATTTACATATCTACAGAAAATTTGAGTATATCTCAGTTTTCATTTTTAGTATAGTTTTTTGAAAAAAAAAATTAATTGTTTTTTTGTTGTTTTTTTTTTTTTTTGAGTGAAAGTTTACGAGTATGTATGATTATGATGACTTTAAAAAGAAAGATTCACAAGAAAATAAACATAAAACAACTTTCACATAATTAAGACCAGACTTTTTCTTAAAATGAGTTGCTTTATTTATCATAGGCGTGTGGCGTGTGGCGTGTGGCCCAAACAATACATTATAATACATAAATTATGAAACAAATATTTAACAGAATACAGTGGTTACTAGCACTTTACAGTATAATTGTGATGACGGATAGTTTATTTATTACTTATTTTTCTAATCTGTGGACTATTTTATTCATTTATTTTTAATTATTTCTGCAAAAAGTATTATAAATGGCAACTTATTTGACATTACCGGTAGATTCTTAAAAGTTATTTTAGTTTTCAAATATGCATATGGTTTATTTTGATTTATTAACTCAATTTTTGCTATTTTATTATTTAAATAGTTTGGAGATTTTAAAAATATAATTACTGAATTTTATCATAATGATTTATTAAATAAATTTTTGCTATTTTACAGCATTTAAATAGTTTAAAAATTCATTTAAAAAATCTTTTTTTTTAAATTAATTTTTAAATTGGGGCCATTTTTTTAATTATTTATTTCTTGCTATTTTACTGTATTTAAATATTTTAGGATTTAAAAAAAAAATTTTTATTATTGAATTTTATCATTGGGGCCATTTTTACCGGGGCCATTTTTACCGGGGCCATTTTTACTGGGGCCATTTTTACCTGGCCATTTTTACCGCAAACATGGAGAAAGCAAGAAAATTATATTCACATTTTGAAGCTGAGGGTGCAATTTCAGGCCGTGGTGTCATAATCATAATGTTTTGTTGGCCTCAGCCCCAATTATGGCGAACGATAATAAAGATTGACCCCAGTTTAGATGTGTCCAATTCCGATAGAAGTGTTTGCCTTTTGTATGATTCAGTACTTCACTATTATTGAATATGATAACTAATACAAGAACACAGTTCCGTTTTTGAAGTCTATTGTAATTACTCCTCATTAGCCTCTAATGGATTCTAAAAATCTGTTGAGTGAAATAACTTTCCGGCTAAAAAATGATAAAGCTGCATAATGACGTCATCATGTAGAGGTGGGCCTAAAGTTCATTGACACCTGTCCCTGAAGACAATACAAATATTTTAAGTTTGCAGAGATTCGTTTAAATTCAATTTATGTCGCAGTAAAAAATACTTATGACAATTTTAACAGAATACGTTAGCTAAATCTAATAAAAAAAAATATTTTAAATGGAATACAGTACTGTACCAATTTATGCCTGTTTTGTTTCTATTGTTTATTTCAGAATCGATAGGTAAATCAAATTAGATGCTTAATTACTGATCTTACGATAAGGCCCAATAAAAAAATATTAGTTTATCACTCTCGCGCGCATATGGTATCTTCTATCGTACATTTTTTTTAATTAAATAGTTAGTAGATATTGTTTGTATTATCTCAATCATGTTTTACTTTGAATATCAACGCACAAGCTAACAACCCAAGGGTGATATTTGGGTTTAGCAAATTAAAGAATATAAAAAAAGCCTCCTTCCCCTATTATTTTCCAGCCTAGATAGGATGAAAAACTAATATTTTTATAGGGCCTAAAATGATGAAAAAGTAGGCATAGCCTTACAGAGGGCATTGGTTATATTTTTAGAACTTTACCACTGAAACTGGTATAAATCCTGCTTTAAACTGGATTCTCAATGATGATGAATGCGTCACAGATATTGGTGGACCATCTATATGCAACAAGGAAGTCAAAACCAAAGGAGAACAGTGTTTTGTGACAATTGAGAACATCTTTTATTACGCGATAGGAATATTCTATATTGCCAAAGAGACAAACTTCTAAATATCCACCACTGCATGT